TGAAAAAAAACATAAATCTATGGCTGTAATTACATATTGTAGTCCCAAATAAAGACTAAAACCTTCTGTGAAAAGACCATAAAGCAGTGAATACACAGAATAAATACAGTGAATGGCACAGAACTGCCATCATTATGTGGATACTCTTGTATTTAAACTTAAATATCTAACAACAGCACACATAAGGAACAGATACAACTGTAATACTCTTCAAGTGTGTAACACTTCTTATTAAAATTCGTACTGTTTACAAAGTCTATTAGCTGAACTAAACAGTTCCTTAGGAGTGTACCTGAAACTTCCAAAACATCCCTGGAAAAGGTTTGGGTTTAACTCTGATGTAATCTATAACAGCTTCCCATCTGTCCACAGAACATAAACACATACACATATATTTGTGCATTCAGACATTTTGAAAGTCCCATACAGATCCTTCTGTTTTCTGATTCATGTCATACCAACAACTGGTTTGGTAGTTAACATCTAGTTGGTAAAAAAACTCATGATCTTAATTCTTAATTAAAATTTTTAATTAAAAAAAATCAGCTCAAGTTAACCACTAAATTTCTAAAATAGATTATCTGGGGGGAAAAAAAATTCCTCTTTTCAAACATTCCAACAACAACAGTAACACACAATGAGCAGCAGGGATGCATAACACATTATCTAGTTTTAAGTGACATGTCCCCTTCCAGGAGAAGCAGTTTAGAGAGGTTTCTTCTGTAAAGATAAACTCAATCGCTGAAGTCTACATTAATGAGAATTTGGTTTTCTCCTCCAAAGAAGGATGACTCTGCTGTCCCAAACTATAAGTGTGCAATAAATCATAATTGCTATTTTCAGTGAGTTCCTGGTTTTGTAATCAAAGAGCTACCAGCATACAGCAATATGCTTGATTGAAATTGTATTACAAAAAATTAAAGTGAGCACAGCCTGGCAGATTCTTATCTACAAGATGCTTTGTAAGCACTTTTCCACATTTTTGAGTCTTTCTGCTTTTATACTGCAGTTGTGAGACTTGAATGCTTTCATAACACGAGGTGATAAACAACATTGTTAAGAATTCCATGTTGTTACTACTGTAATTTTGATAGCAATAAAATATTCATTGTAGAATAGTCTGCAGATTTTAAAAAGACAAGCTAGAAACCACTAGCTAGAAATTCATGAGCTCTTCTAAAGAAGAGCACTGGGGAAGTACAACTTAGTAAAGGTGTTGGGAGGACTACCAGGCAGTACTTTAGGAATAAAATAAAATAGGCTAATTCATATGACACTATTTCAGTTCTGTCCTGGGATGTACTACAAGTCATGCGGGCATCTCACCCACCTTCCATCAAGAAAGTAGAAAAGCACAGGTAAGTAGTCACTCAAAGAAAAAGCACCTCCAGACCTTTAAATGAATCAAAGCTAAATTAGTCAGTCAATCCCAGTGTTGTTCTTTATTTGAAATACAACCATTTACCTTCTCAAGCAGCTTAATGCTGACTCAAAGAATAATTCTGATCTTCCTGTCTCAGAAAAATGTTTTTTTAGCTTCAATTTTTTATTTTAAACTCTAGTGTATGCTTATTGTACTGGAAAGGATAAAGTCTTCTGAAAATTAAGATGTGAGTTATCAGGTAAATTATAGAAAAATAAAAGGTTCTCATATAAGGGTTTCTTCTGACAGAAGGGTCTCTAGAGAACCAGCACATAAGTTCCATGGGTAGGGCAATGGAACCTATTTTTCTTCTCTACTTACACACGCCTGTCTGCAAACACATATGACAGTATATCCATATTAAAAAATAGCTTCATGCACATGCATACAAGTATCACATGACAAGCAGTTCAGTACCATTGTTGCCTCAGTTCATATTGGTCAGTACAAATTTGTGTTTTAGTTTAATGACTGTACAGTTAAATACTATAATATGCCTTAAACCAGCAAATGAGTTTAAATCTAATAGGGTGATGTTCTAAATGAGCAATACAATTTTAATTTAATACAACTTCTTTAAAAAACTTTTTATAGTAGGCATTACATCTTTACATTCCAGAACACTTTATTAAAATTGAAGCAAATAGTTTTCAGGCTAATAGGTTTGGGTTTTTTTTTTTTTGTTGGTTGGGTTTTTTTGTTTTTTTATATCCTTTCCATATATAGACTCTTTTAACCACCTATATTCCAGCATCCCACACTGTAGGAGACAACCTTGGACACCACTAAATATACAGAGCATGGACCTCTACTTTAGCAATTAATCTGGCATTATGGACATGTAATAAAAATTCCAAACAATTACACATAACAGAGTGAAGTATTAATAATCTCTGGTCTAAACTACACATTCCAAGAAAAGGATGCCTTATATTCTGTGTAAAAGCAACTGCCTTAGAAAAGTCATAAATAAAAAGACACCTGCAATGAACTGCACAATACCTGTGGTGCAGTCCACTAAATTTTATAATGAGAGTGATCAGCACTTCTCTAGACTAACAGATCAGCAAGCACAAGAAGTGTTCTTTTTCTTTTTTTTGGGCAGGTGGGGAGAAGGAACAAATAACATTTGGAAACAGTATTTCAATCACATCTACCTTTTGTTCAGTATGTTCTTAAGAAAATAGCTACTTCATAATCACATTTCCAGTTAATTTAAGAAAACCACTTTTTCAGTAGAAGCTGATTCATTGTTTCATCTCACCCTCTGAAAAAGAGCCAATATTACAATAAATACCTAGTTCAATTGAAACAGGAAACAGACTTAATTCTGTATTACTAAACCTTTAGCAATTCAACAGTAAGTAATTCTGGAAATCATTTTTACCTGACCACTAACAATTGCATATCAGAATTAACAACATCTTGTGCTGTTCATTCACTTTGGGAAAGCTCTTTAGGAAAGATCAAAAGTGATGAGTTTGCATGAAGCTCATTCCACTTAATACACCAAGCCAAAACTGTATCAGTAGGAAGAGGACAGAATACAAGCACTGAAGAACACATTTTGAGAAGTATTTTTCCCCCGTACATTTTCTTTGATTTTAAATAATACAGAAATTCAACAAATGGGAATTGTGATGACTCAACTGTCAGTCTTTCACACCATTGGCCATGTAGCTACCAAAAATGCAAACACTGGACTGATATCTTGGTAACTTCTCATCTACTGTAGCCTAATGCTTACATTTACTTATTAAAAGCCTGTCCATAACCTACAGCTTGTACATTTTTACAAGTTCAGTTAACTGCTTTGATAGCATTCTTTCCACATTACAGATAAATTAGTTTATTCTCAAAACTTTTCACTGCCCTAAGCTGCATGGCTTGGAATTTATGCCAGAGTGTCTTCTGACATTTTCAGTATTGCAGATAAATGTTTTCTAAAAATTAAATTTAATAATTTTAAATAATAATTTAGAAATATAATTATTTGTTTAAGGTTTAATTTGGATTTCATCCATTAAGCTGCTGCACAGCAGCTCTGATATCACAGACCTTTTGCTTAGCTCACTTGATTTCAGTGTTTCCCCTTCACTCATTAATTAATAAATAAATAATAATTAATAAATAGACTCGCTGCACAAGAAGTTCTCTGAGATACTGGACGTAATCCTATAATATCTACTAAGGCAACTAGGGCAACTGTTTTTTTAGTCAGAGTAAGATCAACAAGCACTTAAACAGAGAAGCAAAAAAATTAACATCTGAAACATCGTATTTTCCTTCTTTTGTAAGAAAAAGAATCTTCAAAAATTAAAATCCTAGCAAACACACATACACGCACACTCATTCTATTTATTTATAGTAGAACTGCCCAAACAAAATTTAACTACTTATCAGCTAACACCAATATGTCAAATCCTTCTAGATCTTGATTACAAGAAACGGAATTAATAATATTTATATTGTCATGCACTTTCTTTTTGATTCCAGCCTAAACCCACACTTCTCTACATATTTTAAACTTTTAAACAAAAAGCAAGTGTCTCACACTATAGTAAGATTAACTTAAAACTTGACAAGTCCCTGCCCATGGAAGGGGGTTGGACGAGATGATCTTTAAGGTCCCTTCCAATCCAAACCATTCTGTGATTCTGTGAAGATACTGTTTCTTAAACAATGACAGTGCTGGAGACAGTAAAACTACAGCTTTATGATTTAGGCCAGTTAATCTAGAAGTTGCACTGTTTAGTAACACATAAGGTCATCTAGAGATGTATATTTTGATGTTAAATGTACACAGGTATATTGGATTTGCAGACAAATAACATACTTCATGATCCTATTCCTTCCAGCTTTTTTGTTTCTGTAATATGGAGAGTGCAGTAGTAGTCTATGATGCTGCAGAAAGAAGGTACTTTGCCTTTACTTCATAGTAAGTACTACTTAAAGTCACAAGGTCATTCTGGACATTACAGACTGATTCCCCTTGGGAATAGCTCAGCATCCTGTTCAACTATGGGAGTAAAAGCTTCCACACACCAACTTTAAAAGGACAGAAGACATGTGAAGAAAAAGAACTGCAGGGTGGGGAGAGGACATGATGGACCAAACCCCAGTATCGATAAAACAGCACAGTGTAGTTTGTTGGAGTAATTACCTCCAGCGTTTTAAAGTTCATGAAAGCTTTAAGTGCATCTTGAAAGCAGAATAGAAGAAAATCCTCCTAGGAACAGTTCATTTAGAAAATTAACATACCAGGAAACCAGACGAAGGACTCTGAAATCCTTTACCTGCCAACATTTAAATCCTGGAATATTTATTAACAGTCTCTTAAAAAACCAACCAACCAACCAAAACCAAACCAAAAAACCACACACATGAAAAGTGTTCCAAATCCAGTAGAAGACAAACTTAATACAATCATCCTTGGTAGTCAATTACACAAACAAGATAACTATTTGGGGTTTTCAACTTAAAAAAAAAAAACAACAAACAAAACCCAAAACCACCACAAAAAACAGCCAGCAATTTTTCTATCATAGACTATTTGGGAAATTGAGGGACTACTTACTCAAGTCAAGAACATCATCTGTCTTTATCAGATCTTCCTCCCTTGTCAGTGGTAACTGAGTTTCTGGCTCATCTCGCAAGTGCAGTGATAGTGAACGGAGCATAAAGAAAACTCTGATTGCCTTGAGAAATCAAAAAGAATATTAATATATTGCTGCATTCAGTACTACATATTTTAACAGAATCTTACAAACATATACTTACTTTTATAACACCTGAGTGTTGTCATGCAGTCAATCTACTTTTTAAATTGAGAAAGTAGAATGCAATTTCAAAGTTAGTTAAAAAAGAGTATGGATGAAGTTGAAACATGCTATTTATTTTCAATGAAGTAGAAGCAGCAGAGCTTTTATCCCACTGGCACGCTTCCACAGATTGTGACTGACAGACAAATGATTACAGGAGCTGTTTAAGCAAAACCAACAATCTTGGATTTTTTTCTGTTAATCATTATTTTAAGACTGATTGCATTTACAATACCTGTATGCTACAGACAACTACAGAACCAGCCTTCAGAGACTGTCACATTTTGAACTTAAAACACTAATAACTTTTCTGGCTGACTCTAGATAAGACATCTACAAGTTTTAGAGAAAACAGTGGGGATTTCTGAGTTTTAATTTGCTGTGTTCATCAAAACCAACCACGTGCAATACAGCATTCTTGGAGAACTTCATCTGTATTCTCAGAAGGTCTGCATCAGGGCAGAGCATTCTGAAAGTGGCACCAGTCCCAAGGAACTTTCAACAGCTGCTCTGTGAAATTAATATCCTTGTTTTATTTTAGAAATTAATGACATATGGTATGCAAAGACTAGACAAACTGCTAAAGAACAACTGTCATTTTATTAGCCACATTTTGAAAGGCACCATTTAAAATTCTCTTCTGTATTTTCAGAATAGCAAATGAAAAATAATTTTTTATTACCTCATGTTTTGTTTTTTAAAACAGTTTCCTACATAGAAATTCTGTGACATACTGTAAATTAACTGCTGCCTTACAGTAAAAGCATCGAATTCATACAACGGTTGCAGTGCCTAAGAACTCCCAGATCGCAGGAAGTATTAGGAAAAACAGATCTAAACTGCTTTAAGGCAAAACCCTTCACCCCTCTATTTTTAAAATCAACAGAACTGTGGCTCCCATGAACCAGAAATGTGAGTCCTTGGCCAGCTATCATACTAGTGGTGCTTTCAGAAACTTCTGGCAGAACAGGGATGAAGAGAGGAAAGTCATGTATCTGGCTGTCTCATAAATTGACACCAGAGCAGATAGATTTGGTATGCTGCTGAAATCTAATAGGGCAATATGACTATTCAGAGAAAAGAATATCAAGGGTATCTAACAAAAATATGGTATTAACACTACTTTATGAATAAGAGCAGAGTCACTTCATAATGGGACGCGATCCCTCCCATTTAGGCAGATTGCATTCTGATGTATTGTTGAGTTACTGAAATTAAACAGGATTACTATAAAGCAGTTTTACTACCAGATGCTTCAAGAAGAATTCATGGTATTGGGTTTAAAATTTTCCAAATTCAATCAAGAACAGCAACATCCTTGCATTTTTGGTAACCCAGAAATCAAACCCAACAGTTTTGGTTTCTTTCCCTGAAAGACAGAACATTAATTTTAACATTCCCTATAAAACTGTCACTCATCTCCAAACATAGAATAACGCTTACTGCAGAATAATCTACAGTAATAGGAAAGAATATCGGAATTTTAGCCTTTGCAAGAAAAAAAATAATCAAGAACATCAGATGAAAAGGGAACTACACTGTGCTTCCTACAATACTGATAGCTCTCAGTTTGCTAGCAATATAAACCCAAAAGCATGTGATTTATGACTTCCTATAACATTTTATTAGATGTCAATAAAGCACCAGAGCTGTTCAGTGGCCTAGAATTTTTTTCAGCTGACTTCTGTTTTCTTGGTTAAATAGGAACAAATATGAATCGCTAAGTTGAAGCACTAAGCATTATGATGAGGCATACTTTGGGCTGATTCCTTCATTTATATACACACACCACGTGCAATGAAATAGCAATTTGCAGGGAAGTCTACCAGTATCTTATTATATTCCCATGAAATTGCATTCTCACAGGCAGTTCAAAATCTTCTCCCGAAGTCTTTGCTCGCTGTGTCCTCCAAGGTGCAGAGTTCAAGACCCATACTGCTTATTACTTCCCAAATTAAAAGTAAATGAGTCTGCACTATTCTAGGTGACTGATAAGCAGTACCATATCTAGACCTATAAAAATCAGAAGGAAGAGATGTGACCAACAAGTACTAACTGGACTATCAACAATTCAAAAGAGCATCTGATTCTGGGCAGAAGGCTTGATCAAGCAGTAGTAGCTGATTTCAGAAAGCAACCTAACAACTTCGGTCATTATAATGGTTTAAGTCAGAGGGGTTGGCTGTCTGGATTTTGGAGATGTGCCTTTGATAACTCGAGAGATATCTGATTTCTGAGAGTTCATCCTAAAGTTGTTAAGAGGAAAAGAACTGACACTTTGAGGGACTTTCTATAGCAGAAGAAGTGAGAGCCTAAAAAGATCTGATCTCTAACAGCTAAGAACTCATAATATAATCAAAGTACCGGACTTCTTCACTTGCTAGTGATATAAAACTTGAGAATTTTTTAGAATCATGCCATGGAATGCTCAGAATTGAATCACTATCCATTTGAAATTGTCAGCAAAAAGGACCTTCAGCAGGTTAAGTGTCAACAGCAATGTCACAAGATACACCTGAAGTTCAGCATATTGTTATGTCATCCAGCCTAAAAGAGGTAGCTTAGCTGGAAGAAAGTAGTATAGGAATTCTAAGAAATTCTAAAACTTCTAGAGCAATGTGATCAGGGGAAGAAGGACCAACAAGGAAGCATTCTGGGAGTTCTTGTTAATGAGAAAGACCCTTCCATCACAAAGAATTTACAGGAATATTTGTATTGATTTTGATTTTCCAGAAGTGAAACTATTCCTTATTTAGCACACGAAAAAACCATGGAGCAGTCAGTTTCCATTAACATGCATTTCTAAGTATCATTCTGTTAAATGCCTCAGAGAATTCTAGGAAGCATTTTTGCTTTCTAAGAACAGTACTTTTCAAGATAATTCATCGTACTTTATCAAACTTAACTTGCTGGGATAACAAAAGTGTGGCTTGTTATAAGTAATGAAAAAAGTTTTAGAAGATTCCTGGAAATATGTTTTTTCCTTGAAGACTATTTGAATATACTTACATATACACTTACATAAATGCACAGCTACCCAAAGAACAGCACTTTTCAAATAATAATGTCGTGCATTAATATATCTTTAAGACTTACTGGCACTGCAAGGCTTATAGGACACTGCCAGATATGGGCCAAGAACTGATTATCCCAGGAATGCTGATAATGATGTTGTTATTCAGGTCAGTATCACCTCTACAGATTGCGTCAGTCAAAAATAGGCATTTTGCTACTTTTCTCCTCACTTTCAAGATCTCTATCATGAATTATTTCAGCAAGACGAGCACTCCTGAGTAGAACTGTATTTTTTGCTATGTCTAGAAACACAAGCAACATGAAGCCAGCCAGCCTTCCAGTGGAGACTCTTACTATAGAAATATAATGAAAGATAGTGACTGAGAGATCAGACATGAAAGGAAACTGTCAATATATTAAAGAGTGTCATCAAAATACTTTTTTATGTAGATGTCTCCATGGTCTAAAAAATTAAAACCCCCGTGCAAGAACATACTGAATTGACTAGATACAAGAAATTGTAAAGAAGTTTCTCCACTGGGACAGGTAAATATTACATACTCTACACACAGGTCTGTCTTCATCAAGACTTTATGATTTTATGAAGTTTCCAATCAAGCAGCTTTCAAGGAAAAACATTTGTATTTCTAGAACTGTTCAAAGCCTTTGGCATCATTCTTCTATGAACAAATGTAAGAAAAATAGTCTTACTCACTCTTCGTGTTCTTTCCACATCTCCACAAGGCAACCTTTTCACAAAATCAATACCAGTCAGTGGTGTTCCCGTTGGAGGCAACAAGATTGAGGCATCCATCATCAAGTACTCTACATTCATGGGTTTAATCTATAAAAATATTTTAACATTGATTTCTATACAGAACAACAAGCATTTGCATCTTTCAAATACAAATCATGGTTACATAGTTTAAGTGGAAGGAGTTGTTATAGAGTTCTGAGAATTTTTCATACCATCTGTCTTACATTAAGCTCCTACATGCAATCTCTGTTTTATTGCTTATCGTTCCCTAACACACTATTGAAGTTTCCATAATGAAAAAAACACAGAAAAAAACTCTGGAAGATTACAGAAGAAAAAGCTAGTTCATGCGTACTAAAAACCAAAGTCTGCCAGGTTTGATTTAAGTTTTGACTCGAATTTATAATTAGCTCAATCACAGGACAGTTTCCCCTATCTTTCTGTCTCCAAAAAGAACTCTCTAGTGTCTAATAAGGCAATAAATTTCATGCTAGACAACTCCCCCTTCAACCTTGCCACTAACAGAGTCTCTCCTTTACATGGTTGCTTATTTGCATGAATAAATGATGTCTGAAATATCTATCCTTCTGTACCTTTGGACAATTTAATCCAAGTTCTATTATATACATATGCACTGGAGACAGGACCTTCTTTTTGCCAGAAAGCCAGCTGGAATGGCTAAAAACATATAAAAACCCTTCCCACATCTTCTACGATATTCTGCATAGAATAAAAATGCAGTCACATAGGCATTCCAAAACAGCCCACTGTAACTGTAAGCATTCCTGGCCACTTTGCCATGGTCAGATACCATAAAAGCAGAAGACTGAATTTTCACAGTGCAGCCTTGAACTGCTGCCTTGCACATACACAAACTCAGAAATAGTCTTTAGCCAATTTTTCTGATCTCAGAACAATTCATCTTTTAAAACACTGGATTAACAAATTCATGTGTAGAAAGATACAGAAATCTACATAGACAATGAGAACAAATGACAACACAGAACTAAAATTTCTAACAAGTTAACACTTCAGATGCAAGTCACGTGAGTGTACAGTGGTTTGGACAGCATTCTACATCAAAAAGGTGAAGAACGTTAAAAAAGGAAACTCACTGCTGAAAGCAAAAATACTAAGGACTACAATGTTCAATTTACTTGCTCCTCTGAACTTGTTCTCTATTGTTAATGAAGACATGACTTTTTCCTTTCTTTGTCATTCAGACAGAGCAAGCATACTTCTGCCTCCATAAAAGCTCTATACCATGTTATTTACACAACTCATCTGACAAGACATCAGTGTTACTTAGCACTTAAATCAGCCTGCACAGCAAGTCATTCGCTAGCTAGGCAAATAACTAGGCTTTAAGTTAAACGAAGTTCAAGTTTCAGGAAGTAGCTCTGCCTTTTATGGTAAATGAAAAAAAATGCAGTCTCAGAAACAGAGATACAACAGAAAATCCTATACATATACTGAACTTCCAACATAAAAACGGTGCCACTTCTCAAACTAAAAGTACAGCAACACTTAACTACTAAAAAATTAAATAAGATAAAGATATGCACAAGATGCTTCCCATATTAGAAGATTTATTGCAACACACCAACTGTAGATTGTGCTTTTTCAAAAAGACAACTAGTGGCTGCTCATTAAATCCGTGCATCGCTACAGAAAAAAATGTGTAACTGACTACCCAAAGTATTTTTATCTGAACTCTAACCAAAGAACTGAAACAGACAATTAATTTTAAAACACGTTTACAGGTTAAATATGAACTATCTGAGATTAAGCTTAATAATCTCTTAAAACTTTCACAGCCAATACTGCGGCCACAAGTAAAGTGGCCCCACTCAAAACTGAAACCTTGTCGGGCTTTAGAAACGTACAGGAGATTTTCACATTGTTTAATAACTAGGGAAAAAAAAATAATCCAATGCCTCATTTCCCAGGGTAAAGTAATTTTTTGTATACTCACTTTCAGAAAGTTTTCAGAAAGGCTTTTATTTAATAAAGAGCTGTGAAATTTCACATAAATTTATGTAAGTTTAGGCACAACTCCTCCGAGACAAAAAACCCACCACATTTCATTATTCTACTCTCAGAAATAAAGATACCAGCATAGACAGTAGTTATCAATAAGTGCATGTTTTTGCTCCTGTGGTGTATCTGGGTTTGAGGATTTGGCAGGGCAGAAGGGGCGTCACTTACTGTCATACTCCGGTATTCATCTTCAAACATATCCAGAAAAATTTCTTCTCCCTTTCAAAAAAAGTGATATGGATATATCATGAATCCTTATGGCTATGGAGTCATGCTTCTTTGGTTTTGTTTAATTATGTACTGGGTATTCCTGTCCAGGACCCAGCAGCAGGCCTGCAGGGGCTGCTGTGAGGAGAGGCCAGGGCTGCCCCATGCCAGACACAGCCTGTTCCAGCCACCTCAGGCAGCCCCACTGCAGGACACAGCCCTTCAGTAACACTGATGGCACTTAAGGAGGAGAGAGAGATTCCTCCGCAGCCCATGGAGAAGACCACGGTGGAGCAGATATCCACACTGCAGCATGAGAGCAGGTGCATCTGCCCTGAAGGAACTGCAGTCTGTGGAGGACCCACATTGAAGCAGTTTTTTTTTTCCTGAAGGACGGCAGCCCATGGAGGAGAGGACCCAGGGGCAGGGGAATAGCATGAGGAGGAAGAAGCAGCAGAAATGAACTGTTACGGACTGACCCCAAACCCTCCTTTCCCCCCACCCTGCACCACTCAATAGGGGTATAGAATGCTCAATAATGAAGGAGCGAAGTTGAGCCTGGGAAAAGGGAGAGGTGGGGGGAAGGTGTTGTTTAATTTGTCTTAGTTTCTCACTATCTCGTTTTATTTTAATTGGCAATAAATTAATTTTCACTAAATTGCATCTGTTTTGCCCATGATGATAATTGATAAGTGATCTCCCTGTCTTTTTCTTAACCACAAGATTTTTTCATCATATATTCTCCCTCCAGCCTGTTGAGGAGGGGACTGACAGAGTGGCTGGGTGGACGTCTAGCAACTAGCCACAGTCAACCCACTGTTACTTCGGTTTTGTAAGCTATATTGAGAAAACATTCTTCAAGATTCTGACAAAAACAGGAAGAGATTTTAGACACTTGAAATCTGTCATGAATTTACTGCTCCTTATACAGAAGTTAACACCTAGGGCTAAAAATTTTATTTCTCTCATTGCTTACAATACAAAAAGAAAGGCAAAAAGATGCAGAGGTGTCCAATAAGAAAAAAGATTAAGTAAAATTTTAGATCATCACTTCAGATAAGACACAAATAAAAAGTAATGCCAAAAAGAAACATAATTTGTATTAGTGTCAATGATAAAATCCCAGAAATGTTTAATAGTGTGGCTTGCTTCCATGAAATACATAGAAGTTGCAACAAAAGAACATGACTGCTAACTTGACCTCCAGCACAAACCCTGGGAGACTTCTAACAGCCTTTTTGTGACATATGCCAGTGTGGTACGGGAAGGGCAGGAAAGGAGCGGGAAAATCCTCCAAAGAAACACTTCTTCCTCCATCACAAATAGGGAGTTCCCATCTTAAAAAAAGTGCTGCCTTGGGTACTACATAGAGACTGGGCTGCAGACTTGCTTCTAATTCTCCATTATGTAGAGGACTTTTTCTTACAGCATTTTGCATGTGTACCTTATAGAAACGACGAAGGAGATGAACACTTTCTTCCCTTGCACCCTAGAAAAGACAAAATAACTGCATTTTCACGGAATAAATACACCATTTACACAAAATTCACATTTTAAAAAAGCACCCAAAAACTCAAACAGAAGAGTCTGTCTATTAATATCCCCATACTCACAGCCCAGAATTTGGTAGAATACAGTTCTTGCACTTACAAAAAATACAGCTTAGGTGAGCCTGTTTAGTTTCAAAAGCACTTTTCTTTACCTTGTTGAGATGGACGACATACAAATTTCAGAGACAAAATTAAACATAACCCTACTTGAGAAGTTAGAGGTTAAATAGCAAGGTAACAGCAAAGCTGAGAATGGAGCATGGGGTATTGATTCTTTATGTTCACTGCACAGAGCCACCAATAGAAAGATGTTCTAGAAGCTCAAATGTCATTTATGCTTATTGCAATCAGAAATGAAACAAATTTATTCAACTATACTACAAGACTCTAAGCCAAGTAAAGCTGTGACTGGTAATTTGAAAGAAAATACTCACCTCAAGGCAAGCAAGGTGAACATCTTTTATGATGCTGCCATTTTTAGAAAACACAAGCTGCTTCAGCAACAGGCAGCCAAGTTCTAAAGTTGCCAAACGGATTTTTCCATCTATGAAAAGAAAATTTCAATATACAAATAGTAGCAATTTAAGTATTCCTCTTCTCATTACCCAGTGTTTTTAAATGTTTCTACTCTTCTCTGATTATTGTCCTAAACTTTGCTCTATCATACACACCCTATCTGACAAGGATAACTGTTGATGCTGGCTTACAATGCTGGTGGCTATTAAAAGAAAGTAATTTAAGGCAGAAGCATGCAATAAGAAGGTAATAAAGATTAATACTACCAGAAAAGAAGCCAAAACCAACGCCTTATCAATGCACAGGTGGAATTACACTAAAATTCCAGAAGAATCACAGATGTTTGGCATGGATAAAGTTACAAGACAAAAGGAAGTTTTGTATATAGCGTAGCAATAAGGCATAGCTTTTCCTTAAAAAAGTTCAAAGCATTCAGATACAGCCTGGATGTGAGAACCTAGAGAAATCGGAGTGAAAGAACGCACTGAGATTTTAAGGTTATAGTTTCAGAACAATTAAAAAAAAATTAGAAATGTACAGTCTGAGCTCAGTGATCAACACTAAGACAACATACCCAAGAGACAGACAGACATCTTAGCTTTTGACCTCAACTCCCATCTACTATTTTGCAAGTTAGCACTATGCTGCCAGAAACTGAAAGGTCAGTACTGCCAAAAAGAAGAGAAAATGAGATGTTCTACACAGCATTTAGCAAGCTTAATAAAACCCCACTATTTCAACCCCTCCCCAGAAGTGCTTTTGTTTAAATAAATGCATTTCCTCATTTTGCATTCTCTCCTTCTGCAGAATGTACAAACTATTTCTATATAAACTCGCTTTTAATCTGTGACTGGCACACCAGCATAACAAGGTAATACTCTGTAGATCAGTCTTGCGAGTCAAACAAGCATTAGATTTTATCCTGTAGACAATCAGGAATTTGATAGCGCGTCACTCTCAGGGGAAAACCAGTTCTACTCATTTGAAGTTTTAAGAGGGGAAGTGCAGGGAGAAGAGCTGTGGCTTGAACAAAAATCATGTTTCTGTGGAATAGGTCACTCAGCTTTGTATCCCTCATTTCACAGAAAAGTTGAAGTCAGGAAAAAGCCCCACGTTTTCTGCAAAACAGTTCAGAACTGAAAATACAATCTGCGATTGAAAAAAAAAAAAAAGAAGGGAAACTTTGCTATCACCTCTAGCAACAAAGGACTGCTATAAGCAAAGGGTACCACATAGCTTTCAAGACTACTTCTGCATTGTGATTAGTTTTACAAGCAAAGGTGCCACAGATCATACCTTCAAGATGAAATCCTACATTGAACTGAAATCACTATACATCTCATCATTTTTGTTTATTCAAAAACACAGAAAGTAGGAATTAAGACAACAGATCCCTGTATAGTTCTGACTATAAAAACAACTATTCAGCAGAAATCCAGAGTTTCTGATTCCTCAACAACCAAGGAAAACCTGGTATTTCACAGACCATTATCTACTTATTGTTCATAGAAGAGCATGCTAAACAAATGCTTTTCCCTCAAAGACAAGAGGCTAGGTAGCTTGCTTTTTTTTTCTCCTCATCTTCAAAAATTCTAGCTTGGCAAGAAAACAAATATTGAAAAAGTGATACCTGGTTGTGCAGCATAATTCATTATCCTTATGAGACCTTCTGCAAGTACGTGATTATATGAATTTCTCTCTTCAGCATGTTGAGCTGGAAGTTGAATTCTCTCCAGCTTCACTGGGTCAATTCCTTTTGTGGGGGATGAAGGAAGAAATGTAAATTAGAAAACAGAAGTATGCCTCAAGGTAAGTATTTACTAGACTGTAGCAGTTTTTTCAGAAGAGTGTAATTAGCAATACAAAACTGCGCAAGTTAGTTTTTAAATTTCTATTTCAAGGAAAAGGAGGAACAACAGAAAGACTAAACACATCTATTTATCACTGAAAAATCTCAGCCTTAAATGAGGCCTACTGGGTGAAGACACTCAAATCCCAAAGTGATTGGTGACATACAAACCGTTTTGCTACATCTGGAATTCTCAGACTATTTGTTTGCATCTAAATCAAATTAAAGTCAAGCCATACATCTGAAGAGCACAAAGGCTGAAGGGGAAGAGATGGAAGTCTGATTTTGAATTCCACTTTGGTAGTAAGTGATCAGTTCATGTATGTTTTAAAATACAGGAATTTTATTTTGTAAATAGTAGCCTCTTATTTAGTACCCTCCCAACACAAGTCACAGATTCTCACTGACTTGTATAAGGAAACTAAACCCATCTTTCTTCAACCTATTCCTCTAGAATAGTAAAGTTATTTCTCAGAATAGACTGGTTAAGGACTGCTGAAGATCTCCCTGTCCTAAAGAATGGCAATAAACAGAACATGACTATATTGCAGTTTATTGTTTCTTCCAACCCTGAACTTGTAGTTAACTCTACATAACATCATCATTTGTGATATCTGATTTACTTCTTCAGTAACCATATGTATTTGGAACAATTTAAAAAGGTCTGTTTGAAGATTAATGACAGCGATAGAAATGTTCTCTGTCATGATGAGACTGAAGAAAGGCATGAGAGGGAAGGAAGCATTTAAGGAATCAGGGCTATCAAAGTATTAGTGTTCACAACAATCTAATAGTTTACTAAAGAGCTACAATCTCCCTTCTGGAAAGGAAAGCTGCTTATGAGTAAAATTTCTTACAGAATATCTATATGCATATTAAGCTCTCACAGAAAGACATGGTGATTAACCAGCAGAAAAACATTAAGGAAACTAAGAAAACATGGGGGAGGAATGAGGCAGGATGAGGCAGGTGTTCAACAAAGCAGCCAAGTTGAAATTGCAGTGAAAGAATTCATATTCAGCATCTTTCATTTGGTTGTCTGCCTGCCAAGGATGGAGAGTTCTGCATTCTGGAGATACAGTACATGCTCTAGCAACATATATGTAGGGCTCCTTCTGGGATTAACGATCTCTCAGATACAATTTACAACAAATCTATTTAGCTGCATACATGTACCTCTTGGGACTCTTTCTTCCTGTTTACACGGATATTTCTTGCTGGTGAAAAACAGGCACATTTTCTTTAAACAAGAACATGGTGCAAAATGCAGACTCAGTATCCAAATGGAAGAAGTCATAATCAAAAGCCTCAGTAGGGTGTCTACATTTAGTGACAGTTTAGTGACAGAGACTGAGAAGCAAGGCCTGAAACCAAAGTTCTTGGTTAAGCTATGGAAATTCAGATTTTTTTTTTAACGTGTTCTGTTATAGCCTTCTCCACAGCACCAGAATGAGTAGGATGGAGGGAAAAGGTGAAATTCAGACTGACCAGATATAGAATCAGAAACATATCTGAAATAGCCAATGTACTGAAATAGAAAACTGCAACTCATTTTCCTGTGGTGTACAGAGAACAAGCTTGTGTTGCATTCAGTCACAAGAAATCATCCTAAATTTCCAGTTCATTACCTGTTTGTTTGAACTGATCAAGCATTCATTAAAGCATTTATCATCTCTGTCAGATAGTAAATAGATAATCAGATCCTAGACACGCAACTCCTAGAGATTCATTACTTCCCGAAACTCGGGAAACAACTTGGCCTCTCTATGTTTGGAGAGAGACTTTCATGCCCTTTTGGAAAAGAAAAGGATCATTGCCCCATGACCTTGAGAAAGTCTGTAAGCAGGCAGATCTCTTATTTTTATTATACTGAATTCAGATATAAACACTGGGTCCAGCTCAATCCCGAGACACCTTCCATGATTGATACTGAATTTGGGATAGAAAAGAGCAGCTGTACAGCTCCTGAGCTTTTAAAGAACAACATTCCACTCTTGCATCAAACAGGGGCACTGAATCAATAGCTTGTAAAACCCCTCCTCTTCAAGACAGAGGCACTGATTCCATGGCTCCCCAAGGCTGAAGGCAGTCTATTACAGGGCACAAGAGGAGTGGGTTGGTGAAAGACAGTGAGGACCAAAATCGGATGTCATTATCTGTCTAGCATGTAAGATATAGTCAAGGACAGAGGGAGAAAGGGAAATAGCTTCCGAAGAGCAACAGGCGAATTGTTGACAAGGAATCCCAATGCGTATAGCTTACAGAACTTTCATTTGTAGAGGGCTGATGTGACCACCAGAGAAATGAAGTGTAGATTTTGACCCCTTAAATGCAAAGACCCCTTTGGTCTCCAATTTTAGGGCCAAGAGACTTTTAGTCTCTTAAAAGTAGATATTTCACTGCCTTTTGCATTTCTTTTGGCAACCCTGGACATTAGGTGAAAAGTAAACAGCACAGAGATTGCTGAAACTACGCAGCAAGAGGCTGCATCTGCTCCATTCCTCACTGTTTACAGCAATACTACCGATGTAAGCAAATAGTCTTTGAAACAAGAGAGGATATCGGGCTTTTTTTCTGGAAACAGGATATTGAAGAGTGACTAATTACACTGAAAGCAAATACATTGGGCTGAAGGACTATGGTCTTAAATAGAAGAATTCTTAAGAAATACAACCCTAGAGTGCAGGCTTACTCCTTTACAATGATGTTGAAAGACTTCCAGGGACTCTCTGAAGCTGCAAGTTACAACTAATGATTTTGCTATTCACAACTTCAACTAATGAATTTTAAGAAAAGAGAATCCATCTCTGACATCAGGGTTTTCTAGCGCAGTGATACTTAAAATTCCCTTGAGGAAAGACATTTTCTGGAAGAAGTATAGTGGTTGCAGGGGAGGGTGGGAAATCAGAGATGCAAGTCAGAGAGGGCTAGAGCATGGCAAGGCTGCCGTGCTATCTTTGGTCACGTTTAGTTGCGTTATTATCTCTTGTCATAAGAGACTGTGAAAGCCCTGAAATTGTCTGCAAATTATAGTCTCAGAGAAGCATTCCTTCCTTTCTGGAAAAAGATAAAGCCATCAAGAGGATGGAGGAGCACAGGAGGGGCTCAGCTTAACTAGCTCCCTCAAATCATTTCCACTCTACTTGCCCATTAGAGGTACCTTGAAGCTAAACATAATCCTTACGTTTAAGCATACCATCACACCTGATGCTCTTTTGCTCAGTTTACAGTAGCAGTTGATTAATTAAAATTACTAGTATGTTATAGAAACTATCCTCATAAGCAGAAAAAAACACCAAACTTAAATTCAGTTCTCTATTCCTGAAACACAGAATTACTCACATATATGATATGTTCACATTACTGCTCCATAAGGAATCTATTTAAAATGCACACAAAGATAAACAGAAAAAAAACTAGCCATAATAATCCTTTATAATTCAGACAGTATGTAACCTTTTCTAATGAAGTACACATTTCACATAGTTTTGCCAGTCTATAAAATAGTCCAGGCTCCTTGGGAGACTTGCAAGATCTATTACGGCATAGAACACTGACAACTTAAACAAGTTTTCAATCAATTACAGCCCAATGGATGAGAAGGCTGTTGAGGAATTGCATACTATAAATGGAATTACTGAAGGACTGTAAAAGCTGGATACAAATAGGCAATACGTGACTTCCAAAATCACATCTGATTCTCAGGCCTTGTGCATTATCTAAATGTTTAAAATAAACGAAGATTTATTTTTAACATATGGGGACAAGTTTTACAACATTTTATACTTGGCTTACATGTAGCAATCACAGTACATGCAGAGTGGGAAAGAACTGGATCCCATATGTATGCAAGATTTAATATAGCAGGCTGTAACTGAAATAAAGAGATTAAAAATGAAACACAATAATCCTGTTCCAATTCCAAGAAACCTATGGAAGAACAAGTTATCTGATGTTCACGAAGCTTTCTGCCAAATCATTCTTAAATGCGAAGCTTAGCAATTGTTTTTCCTTACAACATATTTTATTTCTGCCTCCGCTATGTAAAGAATTTCTCACCACTTAAGGCATGCATAAGTTACAAACAGATCATGCCTGTCTAAAACCATGTGTCTCATTTAGTTTTCTCTGGAAAAAGCAAAAATTCCTTACCTTTGTTGTGTGACATTGCATATAGAAGACAGAGCACAAAGAGGGCATAGTAATCATCTTCAGCACAGTCTAGTGCGTTATAGACCATATCAAGAAAAGGCCTGTGGAAAGGAGCAATTTTAAAACAGTGAAGAAAAAGACCATATCTACAGAAAAATGAGTAACTATCTCATTGTACGTGTAGCTAATGGAAGAGGCAAGTTCACAGTAATGCACATTTTCAGGCATTAAACAAAAATTAACTGGTTTATGAGTACTCAGATTACAACCATACTTGTATTTACATTCTAACATTAATTCTGATGTTTTAACAGGATTACACAATACTTTCCCAAGAATTGATTGTTCACACATTTACTGGGCTGTTTGTAGCACATTTTGTATATATGTAGAACTGTTGTACAGCTTGTTTTATGTGTATACATAAATAACTTCAAGGAGCTGCTATCACTGCTGCATTAAAAAGAAAAAAAGACTACCCTAAAACTCATGTACTAAATGGAGTTGAAAAGTTTTGACTATTACAAGAAAGCAGTTTTCACCAAAAGTTTGGAGGAAGCTAGTTTACTCTAAAACAATCAGTCAAAACCCTTACTGTCTAACAGTTGCAGGAAAGAAAAATGAACAAGGAGGGAACATTTGAATGGAAAAAAGCAGGCTTTGGATTGCAGATGAGCTTTGTTTTCCTAGCTTTAAGTACATGTGACCTATGACACACAAACAGGCAGCTACAAACACACTTTGCCTGTGCCCTGAACAGACCAGAAAGGTCAATTTAACCCAGAAGCCATTTGGATAGATGAGATATGGCTGAGATTCAGATGGTATTAGCACAGCCCGATGGCAAGGCAACTTGGCTTCTTGTCTTAAGCTGGCTTGGATCCAATCAGTTCAGAGCACAAGTAGAAATTAAATCCATTTTCACAGGTGGCCCAGACAGGCAAAAAAAAAAGCCAAACCAAAAAACCCCCCAAAACACCAACCAGGGAAGTGTCAGAGTCACCAGAAGGGGTGACTTTAGAACCTTGACTGAAAAAGAGATAATTCCTACCTCTCAAAGTATTTTTTTAAACAGTGAAAGAAAATCCTTACATTACCTAAATTGCATCCAAATAACATTAAAATAACATCCAAAGTCATAAAGATGAATACATTTTCCTATCTTCAGACCTAGCAGACAAAAAGCATCCGCAACAAACTCATTGTTGCAGTTAGCTGTGGGTCAGAAGGGCTAAGATCAGAACATCAGAACACAATGTACTTCTATACCTATTCCAGACCTGTGGTGCCCTCACAGTCACGCTTAATGTGCCTCAGTAAGCCACCCAACTGAAGCCATAACAACGTATTTAACACTTCACATCAGCTCCATGCACCTTTTAACAACATGCTCTCTTTTACTAAAACAAGGCTATGACAAGAATAACAGAACACACTGTTCCTCTCTGTTCATGACATTACAGTCATACGTTTGTACATTTCTGAAGCTGGATTACAAGTATCCTCTATGATATACTTAAATGTCACTGAGTTACAAGCCCTCTTTGCCCAAGTTCAACACCTTCAAATTTCCCACATGATGTTCCTATTGTAGATCTCAAAAGAACATAACTATAAAAGCAAAAACAGCCTAAAGAAATTGGCAATGTTGAAAATAAACCAAGAGTGCCTTCAGTCTTCCTAAGCATTAAACAGGCCCTACAAGCCTCATGACATCTTGGAACGGGGTGCTTTACAGACATTTGCCAAATGCATTGGCATCTCACATGTAAGTATTTTGTACTTTTCAAGACCTGAGCATCCTGGTTGCTTTAGTATTCAATGCAGTCACTGCCAATTTCTTTCTAAAAGCCATTTGGCACACATTTTAGTCAAAATATCAATAATCAAGAGCAATGTATTTTAAAGCAAGTTCAAGTCAAGGTTCAATTTCACTTTTACAATGAAATTAAATGTTACCGTTATTAATGAATGTAATCTAAGCTACATCAAAACTATAATGGAGACAGAATGAAATTCTGGGAATACCAGGCAGCATTTCCCAAGTTTAAAAATAAATTTGAAATAGTATTAAACACGTGCATTTCCCAAAGGAACATATTTGCAATTACTTTTGTGTCAGAGACAGCACATTTGGTGTCTTTTCTTCAGCATTCTAATAACAAGAATGCAAAACTCTTACTGAGAAAGTGTCTTATGGGTATTTAATATATCCAAGTCTAAATTTTGAAGTCAGGGCGATTTCTGCTCCCAGAAACACTTAAAAACTGCATTTCCAAGGAAAGTTTTCAATAACCCTAAGATAAGCTAATGGACCTTGGAAACTGTATATAGGCTAGTAGGGTTTATTTGTAGCTACTACTACTAAAATTCTCCAAAATTCAGCCCTGAACTGAGGAACTTTCCTTGTTTTTTTCCCTATAGGTGTATACAACATTGACAGATATGACTGCAAATATCATTAAGAAAACTTCTCTGGCTTAATTTAGAGGTTTAGAGAGTTCGGGAGTAAGAGCATTTATATTCTGGTTTTACTGTGTTAATAGTCTGTAATTTAACTTTACCAACTTAAGACCTCACAATTGCCATAAAGAAAAGCACAAACTTTACAAAGGAACAGGACCATTTCCAAAACTGATCAGTAGAGAGGCCATATCCCATTTTTCTGTTGCCTCACTTACTTCTGATCCAAAAGAACTGTAATTTTAATTGGAGGTAGATTTGAAACATCCCTTACGAGAAGCGAGAGAGTTAATGGGAGGGCAAGTAAGGAACCAATCCAGCAAAATATATTACAGTTCCTTTGTACCTGTTCCAGTTTGTTATCTCATTCCCAGAGGCAGCTGCACTCTTTTCTTCATCTGTTGTATTCTGTTCCGTCACAACAGAGATAGACAGTTCTGACAGTTTACATCTCTCCATGATTACCATCTCTATTTCTAAAAAAAAAAAAAAAACCAAAACAAACCCAAAAACCCCACAGAAATTTGATATTTTTAACAAAATTATGGCAAGTTCTTTTGTATTATCCATTTTGCATTAGAAGTGACTGATTCAACTATATAAGAGGTATAACCATAACCTCAGAAAGGTTAATGAATGAATAGATGTAGGCAAATTTTCTTCCCAATAAAGAAGTTTGCTTACATTTCTTTAAGGAATTTAACTGCTGTAAGAAAATTATACATATACGTAACATATATAAAGTATATATACGGATTATTTTGGCAAATAAACAAGCAATAGTAGCCACCCTTCCCTCCAAACCACAGCAAGAAGTGAAGTCTACTTATCAAGTGCCCCATAATCATGTACACCTAGGTGAAAGGCATGCATTTGTGATAAGGGCCGAAGACTACAGGAAGATATGAAACACTTTCATGGTTTTTAATCAGATTAGAAGTACATGTTTGGACAGAATGATTTAACATGAGAAAAAAATACAGCCAAAGACTGAAAAAAATTTGGTAGTCCGTATTTACCTAGTGCAACAAGAGAACAAGTCACGTAACAGACACAACTAGGTCCATACAATAAATAAAAGTATCCAAATTGTAAGCATAATTTTTATTTGCTGGTACACTCACCCTCATTTTCACTGCTTGTTCTGATGCCCTTTGAACTCACTTCTGTACCTTTAGTTTTATCTATGTCATCTTGGTTATCTTCAGATCCTCTCTCCTCTTCATCTTCTTCACCAACATTTTTATAGTTGGGTCTTTTCTGCACCCTCTTCTTCCCCTTCTGTTTGTTAATTTCAAGAGACCTCTCAAGTGTTTCTGTTGGTTTTATGAAACATCTGATACTTGACTTTGCCTGTAAATTTGAAGAGTTTACACTGAGTTACAGCAAGACGTTTTCAACTCTAATTGATAAAGAAACTTCAGCTCGTATAAAAGAGGGTTTTTAGAACGTAAATTAGCATACCACTTACAAATCTCAAAACCATTTTAAAATACAAGAAAGCGGACCTCAAGTTGTATCAAATCAATAGAACATCTCCAAAGTAACATAACCTAAAGATCTGTCATTAGAAGTATGCCATCTTGAAAGAAGAAGATACAGAACTACCTATTTAATCAATAGAAGCTTATTACATTTTTTTCCCTTATTTGAACTTTTAACAGGTGAGGCAGCTAGTACATACAAAATTAAGACACTTTTTGCAAAAAGGATAAAGGCAGCTAAATCCAAAGTGTGTGTTGATAGCAATGTATTAATATGAAATATACTCTTTAAATGTCTTTAGCAGTAGCAAGGACAAAACCCAATCCTCTATGCCATGAAACTTTTTTGAATCTTAAGCTTCTCTCAACAGCGTACTAGCCCTTGTATCAACTAGGAACAAATGGCACTGACATCAACCTTTTCTGGGCCTCCAGACATCAACTCACCAAGTCCAGAAAACCAACACCACTTCATTTGTTAGACTTTAATATATTTGTGTTCTACCCAAAGATATGAGAAGTTTATCTTTAAAGGCTTGTTTTGGACAAGGCAGCAAACAGTATTCGATCAATACCTGATTTTCCTGATTATTAATAGAGCAAGAAAATAAACTTAGATGACAAATTTCTCCCAGGGGAAATAAGTATTTCCAAGAGTATGCGCCATCCTAACAACAGAAGTCAATGTATTCTTACAGAAAGACACAAGACACTACGAGAAGGTCTGCAACTAGCAGGACTAACAGAACTTTGTTTCCTGCAATTTTGCAGATTGTTTCTGAGCTGTGATGCTTTGAGCTCCCTTCTCGGTTGTTAGGCCTGCCAGCTGGATTACCAGAGTACATACTCTCTCTCACCCATAGCTATAAACATTGATCAGCCAAACCTCTCTGTTACTGAGAAGTGAAACACGTGGTTTGGGAGCTTCCTGCCAGCACAAGTTTATGCTGAACAAGACTGCTACAGGAACTTCATTATCTTTCAGACCTCAATACTTCAATCACACTTAGTTGACACTGGCTAAAGGGTTAAAAATTTAAGGGCAAGCAAGAGAAAAGAAGTAAGACTAGAGTAAATACAAAACTGATTCCATTCCTTGCCTTAGGTGACTCAAATACAATAAGCATTGAAAAAAAGTGCATCAAAGGGACCTCAGAGAAAAAGTTTGGAAAAACCCCTCCCTTCACTTAAGGAACACCTATACACAAAAAATACGAGATTAGGAAAAGATCTGGGAAGAAGCCTTCTACAAGTCAAAAGGCAAAAATGTTTATCTGAATCTTCTGACTTTTAAAAAAAAATGCTTTATACAAATCTTGCATAAATCACCTTACACTTGGCACTGAAACAAACAATATAGTAGGAGGAATTTTTCATGATACCAAAAAACCCCACAATGTTAAACTTACCACACTCATGTCCCCGAGTAACCTCTCTGATATATTTTTAGTCTGATTAAGCTGCAACATAGGAAGGTTATAAAACAACCAGAGTTGCAACCAGATTACCTTTTATCAATGGCTTCTGGTCAGAAAAGTCGTAATAAAAGGCAAGAACACATTAAGTCCTATTTCTTAGGGAAAAAAAGAAAAGTAGCATGCAAATTGCATAATGCATTTTCCCCTTCCTGCATTCACTTCTAACAATTGCTTCCTAGAATCCTGTAGCTACTTTCTTTATGAAGAATGCATGTACTTAACATCTTTGCATTTCTAATATGCTGTTAGCCATATGCGCAAAATAACAGAAGAGACCAGTACACAGCAATGTGCTCATAAGCACTGAACCATGGTCTGGTCCATCTCAAGAAAGCAAGCTGAGAAAAAGTTCCACTGAATATAACAAGGCTATATATTTAAAACATTCTAAAATCAGATTTAAAATTAATTTACATAGTATACGGTTTATCTAAGTTGATTACACAGTTTGAGATACTGCTACTTTATACTTTTAAAATGTCTTTCAAGTGTATTTTCAATTATGGTTTATCTTGTGCAATGTATGCTGGTAAAATAAGGTAGTACCAGTAACAACTTTTACGGGAAGGAGAAAGTAGGTTAAACAAGAAACCAAGAAACATGAAATAGGTAGAACTGGCCCACATCCGAATTATGCAGGAAAACAGATCTCACAGGAAATAAGGTAAACCTTAGTGTGATGACTGCTAACAAGTTTAAATACATTCTGTTGGCCCCACATATCCAACTCTCATCATGAGGTAAGAGTTCATATTTCTCCTGATGCCACCTAAAACCATAAATACAGGGTAAATATATGGAAAGAAAAGTGTATTTTGATTTGCTATACTTTGCGGTGGAAAACCTGTTCAATGAAGGTTGGGCAATCATTACTGCCCTATTATGTTCAGCAGCTCTCCATGGGTAAGTTATTGCCAATTCACAAGCTATCAGCCATTAGATTTGCTGGTGAATTTTTCCCACAAAATTACTTCCAGTAAAAAGTACCATTTGTTCCTGTTGTGACAGCTACCATTGCTCTTTTGCCCTAAATAACTCCGGATATGCTGCGTTTATACACAGTAACTGCAACCCTTCTCAGCTTTTATTTTTGTCAAGTATTCTTTACTCATTTAGTCTCCTATCATGAGGACACGTGACCCTGCTTCTCAGTCCATACTCTACACCTCATTCCACTTTAATTCATCTTATTAGGAAGATTAATATAGACATCAGTTTCTACTTCAGGTTTTAGAAACTACATGTTAGTTAGAAACTGACAGTTACACTTCATTTTAAATATATCAAGACATCTGTTACAAGGGATGAGCAGTTTTAGGTATAGAGCAGGGGTGTAGAGATAACTGGGGCTCAACACAACACAGATACTCTCCTAAGCTTGTGGCTTTGGGGCTATCAGAATGATTACCATGGGAAATTGTAACAGAAAGGAAGTAGTAAAAGATAAAATTGGGTCTGACTTAAGAACAAACACAGTTCTAAACTCAATGTGCTGGTTTTCGCTGGGATAGAGTTAATATTCTTCATAGTAGCTAATATGGGGCCATATTTTGGATTTGTGCCAGAAACAGTGTTGACAACACAGGGATGATTTTGTTCCTGATGAGCAGGGCTTACACAGAGTCAAGGCCGTTTCTGCTCCTCACCCCACCACCGAAGAGGCTGGGGGAGGGTGGGGGCACAAGAAGCTGGGAGAGGGCATAGCCAGGACAGCTGACCCCAACTGGCCCAAGGGATATCCCACACCATATGATGTCATGCTCAGCATACAAAGCTGGGGGAAGAAGAAGGAAGGGGGGACGTTGGGAGTGATGTTGTTTGTCTTCCCAAGTCACCGTTACACATGATGGAGACCTGCTTTCCTGGGGATGGCTGAACACCTGCCTCCCCATGGGAAGAAGGGAGCGAATTCCTTGCTTTGCTTGCACACACAGCCCTTGCTTTACCTATTAAGCTGCCTTTATCTCAACCCACGAGCTTTCTCACTTTTACTCTTCTGATTCACTCCCCCATCCCGCTGGGAGACTGAGCAAGCAGCTGTGTGGGGCTGAGTTGCTGGCTGAGGTTAAATCACGACACCCAGTCAAAAAGTAAATAAAAAAAAACAAAAACCAAAAAAACCTAAGCTCATCACTTTTCTCTACTAACCCCAGAACAAGCAATTCTGAAGTAGCTTCTGAAATAGCTTCTACTATTCAATAGAAGCGTGTCATTTCTTTGAAACAGAATACGCCACAGTAGTAACTTCGCAATGATTCTGCTACACCTTATAGTCCAAAGAACAGCCCCTGAAATAGCTAACAATGCTCAGTAATGAACTTTCTGCTCTAAGAAGTCCTATCACAAAACAAGAGACTGCCTCACCTTTACTTAAGTTGTCTACGCCTCCATATCTACAGCTGACTTTAGCCTCACTGCATTGAGATATCTTATCAGTAGAAAACACCATGCAATATATTCAGTAGTTGTTCATGCTCATCAACTGAGAACAGCTCAGTTGATAGCTCCCCTCATTGGAAGTAAGGCATGGAGCTCTGCTGCTGAAGATTATTCCCTGCTCTTTCTGCAAATAACCAACCTCCCTTTCTGACAGTACAGGTTTTCCTCTCCAAGGTTTCATTGAAGAACATGGTTGAATTTATTAAAATCTAAAGTTTGTCCTGTGGAAGTTTTTTTTCTCATCCACCAAAAGTGCCACCACTCTGCTCTGCCTGTAACAAAGCCATACCTCTAGCAATTTTGTCTATCCTAGAAAGCCAATACCCCCCCCACCTTTTACTACCTGTCAGGTATGACAGAACTCTCAGTTAACATGTCATGAGGACACATCTTTAAGACCAGTAAGAAGCAGCAACCTAAACAGTATTACAAACATAAGAGAATAGATGAACAGCAGTTTATAGGAAACACCTAATATTCCTAATATCAGTGCAAGCACACAAACATATACTACAGATATTTTGCACCTCTGTACGGTAACTATGACAGGAAAAGAAAATCTCACTTCTGCAACAACTGGAGCCCCACCCTCTTGCCACAAATTTCCTAGTAACAAAGCAGCTTCTGCACAAGTAACACACATAACATTCAGTAAGCAGCTAGCAGAAGGTTAGACATTTGCTAACACAAGTAAGAGATTGCTTTATTTCAAAGTATTCAGTCAGCTCTACCATTCCACTGTAGTTTTCTTCTAAAAAAGATTAGATTCTAAATATCAAGGTCAACAGTACAAAATACCAGAACCCAAAAGCTACTGGCTAAAAACGGCCCACACAGCTTCCACTGAACAGTAAGGAAGAAATTTTACTTGTATCATGGAAGAGTTGAAACATATCTCCCCCTTGAAACTCTCATAGCTATAGCCACTGCTAGGAAAGAACACACCTAAGAACGGATCTATTGCATATTACAAATTAAACATTCAGTCAGTAACTCTTTGCTGACCAGTCAGAAATTAGGGAACATGTTCAATCTTTAGACAGAACTACAGTCAGAGGCCTTTTAATCAAAGTAAGGTCATACCCCCTTTTTACCATCCCCAAATAGGCCTTTAAAAAGTAGCAAGTAAGCGTTTCACAAACTGTGAAACCCAAAACAAAAGGGAAAAAAACCCATATACATGACCCACTTAGAAACTAACAGCAGCTTCTAGCAACATTTACATAGGATTAAATCTGAAGGTACAAGGGCAATGACAAAGTGATAGTATTCCCATCTATTTGTGGGTGGTCTATATTCTCTTATGCACACTTTCAGAGATGCTCAGTTTTACTGCTAAAACACTGGGAATATTCAGACAAAAATCTTTATTTCCTTCCATTTCCAAAGGATTTACCATAAGGCCTGCTATTTTTTCCAAGTCTCTCATTTCTACTACAAGTTGCGTAAGGAAATAATTTCACAGGAAAGTTGTGATGACTCATTTCTATTTCACTACCAAAGACCTGACAAAAAAACCCACTGAAGACAGAAGACTGGATTACAGAAGTGTCCCATCAAAACGATGGAAGCCTTTGCAGTGTCTGAGCCCCACAGAAGCAACTACGTATTCTAATTTATGTCCTATGTATTCTTATATCACAACCTGAAATACATACGTATGCACAAAAACATTGCAATTTAAACAAGGACATAATACTCAAAGTTGCACAAAGCATTTTTTGGCTATCATATTGAACAACAAAAGCTGAAATCCCCTATTGCTGCTCTTCTCTCCTAAGCACAATCACCTTAGCTTACCAGTTTCCAGATACCTGATCTCATTTTTCAAATATTTTCTTTGCCTCTAAAAAAAGTATTAGAGATTAGTTGGCCACTTACTGAGTTTGTCTGTATATCTTGCTCAACTTTAGAAGAAAACACCGAAAGGTCACCATTAAGTATAACCTCAGCCAATGAGTTCACCAAAGGGGCGTAATGTATAATTAGAAAAACCTATTAAAAGAAGGGTAGAAAGAAGTATCAGACATGTATTACAAAACACATACAGCTTCACAATTTCAGTCACTGAGCACACTTCTTGGACCTTGTTAAACTGGTATCTCAAGCTTACATATACAGTAAAAGTACAATTGGTAACACTGATAGTTCATGAAATCTGCTTCAAAAACCAGGAGATCTAATCCTTTCTACAGGTGTTTGACCTTTCTCTACGTTTAAAGCTACCTAGTTCTAATAATTCTTCATACTCTTCCCTCCTTCTGAGAAACATAAACTCTCTCTCCTTATCAACTTCGAGATGAAAGTTGTGTGATATTCTAGCAAGGAACCCAAATTAAGACTGCTCCACAAATTTTTTTTTATGAGAAACTATGCAAACTGATTATGGTACACAACATCCACTACCATTCTTGTATGCCAACAACTGTCAGGATTCCAGTAAGTTCTGTGTTGTGCACACAATTACTTTGCAGTGATTCACAAATAAGTGTCATGCAACAGGCTGAATGGGATCGGAAGCAGCTTTTCTGGCTAAGAAATCACAACAAATTATGGTCTAGCTACAAAGCAGCTACCCAACACAGGAATAAGGGCCATACTGCCTATAACATTAAAGCACTTATCCAGAAGTGCTTTGGTGCTTTAACAGAGTTCTCTGTTTACACTAACCATTCTATTTTGAGGCAAGGCTTACAAGGTTGGGCCAGCAAACAATTGGCTTCTGGACAGAACCGGCTCAGGTCCAGCCACAATAGCTTTATGTCACCTTATATCCATTCTCTTCACAGGAATATCAAAGCTGGATCCCTGAACAATGGTTCTAGCTAAAAAATCTCCAAATAATTTCTAAATCAGTAATCCTAATCATTGTTTTGACAATATTTAGCTAAACATGATCCACAGGTTTTCTGATTAAAGTCAGAACCATTCCAGACCTTCAAAAGTGAAGTGATTATTAGCGTGCGGTGATGACCTCTGTAAAACTTTGGAAAGTTGCAACACACTTCAAAAATATGTCGAACAACCTCACAAATCACTCAAGCTTTTTCTAACTCAGGAAGCATAGCTTGACACAGGCATGTTTTGGCATAAGTATGTTAGATGTTCGCTTTGTGACCAGTGGATGAAAATCCACAGCAGTGCTAGCACAAGTCTCTCAAGCACTTGTCTCAAATATATCAATAATGCATAAAGTGTATGCCTGGTGTCAGTAACAGAAACAGTAAAGAAGGTTTTTCAGATACTCAGTGCACTCTTTTTCAGATCCCACTCCATCAAAGACAGACTCTAGGTTAAAGAGAGGTGGAAAAAGATACATTTCTGCCAATTACACAAAAAGTAGCTTAATTTTCTACATCATGTCCCATTCCAATACACATTTGTTACCAATTCTTTATGGTTAGGAAAAAAGTTCCATTTTCTTTATTAAAAACAACAAAGAACATAGATGCAAATCTTGAAGTGACCTACCCAATATTTCCGTGCTGAAATCAAAGAGGTTAAATGAAGTCAACATATACATCCCATGACACAGATCCCCTTAGTTACAAGATGTTGCTCCCAATGTTTTATCTGTGGTAAATAACTCCCACATCATCACATTTTTTTAGGTTTAAATTAAGAAGCATCAAATTATATTATCCCGAAAAAACACATTTTTCAGGAAAGTTCTAAAAAAAAGAAGATGAAACTATGGGCCAGCCCATAATAAAATGACTAATGTAAAATCATAGGTTCAAAGAAAAAAAAAAAGTATAAATTCTATGAATTCAAGTCAAAGCTATTTTAAGAGAACTTAGTTTAAGAAAACTACTCTCATAGCAATGCACTGAAGACTACAGGGAGAAAAGATTATTTTTCTCTACAACAAAAAAACCCACCAAACACCACTGTAAAACTATCTTAATTTGAAAATAAGTTCCAGAAAGAAAAGGAGATGGGAGCGGTAAGAATAAGGAATAACAAGTACTTAATTATAGATTTAAGGTATAGGCACAATGAAATTCAAATGGTGAGAAAGTTTTGAGTTTTTGATGGTGATGGTTTTTTGGGGTTTGTTTGGTTGTGGGTTTTTTTTTGTTTTTTTAAAAAGCAATCAAAAAACCATGTGAGATCATTGCGCTCTCTATTTTTCGAAGAGGAAAATTGAAACCTGGAATCTTCCATAGCTTAGGCAGATTCAAAGTGCAATACAGCATCTGCAGTTTTACTAAATTCTGTCCTAGCATGTTGCATGGCTCTATTATGCACTATTTATCAGGTGGCATACATAAACTATAATTGCTGAATGCTCTAAAGGCTAGCCTGTGCTATAGGATCCTCAGAAGAACGGTATTAACTCAAGTAAGAAGCTGTTTAGTCTCTCCATAAAAAGACAAATGATCTTGACTACTTTTTTTTTTTTTAAATGGAAACCGATAGGTTTAAAACTTCATTTGCCAAATTGTCTTTAATGGCTTTGCCAAAATAGATAAAAATACAGTAATTTATAAGTCATAACACTACTGCAAAACATATTCTGAAATAGGACAAAATACTTAAAATACTTACTTGCGAAAGAAGATAGAGAGAAACTTGGAGACTTATTTTTGGACGTTCTCCACCCTACAGAAAAAACATTATGAAAAATGCTGATTTATTTATAAAAAGTTAAAGCATTTACATTATTTAGTAATTTATTAAAAAAAACCTTTTGATACTGTATTGTTCCACATTCTTCTACAGAACGTTCAGAAAGCATCATGCTCTTTAACATTTACTTCTTGTAAATTATTTCAAATGAAGACTCTCCAAATAAGCATATGCCTTACTCTACATGCTTAAAAAAGAAATCGCTATTGATCACTGTCTGTTGTAGTCACTTCAGTAACTTAAATTTAACAGATAATTATCTGAGAAGTATGTTTGTTTTCACTGTGCTACTATTCCTTCAAAAAGTACTTCTCAGTTAGCATTCATTAAAGTTTGCTCTAAAAATTAGCTATACAGAAACAAGGAAATATTACCCACTTAATAAAAACACATTCTTGACAGACACTTCTCTAAATCGAGTAAATCACATTGGGCAAAAGTATTTGAAGTATAACTTGAGCACAACAGTGCTAAATTTATATAACAATAGTAAAGAAAATGTTGCTAAAAATAAATTAGTGATACTTTAAAAAACATCACCAAATAATTTCATCAGTTACTATCTCAAGAGGTAAGAACAGCCCAATCTTACAATCGCAAATATCTCTGACCTTGTAATAACAGACATCTGCCTGAAAACAGGAGGACAAGCAGACTTTTGTGCATGCATGAATGCAAAGAGTTAGAATAGCTGAAATGAAAGTAAAAGTCAGGAAGTCTGCTTCATCCTATTTCAATGGCCTAATCAATGGCAAGACAAGAAGCTGACTAGTCTTCACTGGACATACTGAGTTCACTCATTAACTTGCAAGATACCTGACCCCTGGTTAATGAAAGTATCCTGAAATTCAGTGTTGTGTATCTTAAGAACAAACAGCACTACAGAAGATTAAGAAGAAGGGTGGGAAAAACAACAACAAAAACCCCACAAACAGAAATAAACCTAACTGAATTTATTTATTTTTTAAAAAGACAAGTGATACATGAACTTGTACAGGTTTTAAAAGAATAGTTTCTATTTCATTACAAATTTGCTTTCCACTAAATTTAAAGGCTATGCTTTACAAATAAATTCAACTAAAGCACATTCAAACATAGTTTATCTACAAATGAAAGAATCAAGTAGCAAACCCAAAAGTTTATAATTTCTCCCTGGAGTGGATTTTTACACCACAGAAAATTTGCACGTGTACTGGGAAAAGGTATTATAATCTGCTTTTGCCAGGAGACAAACTACCATATCAGAAAAGGAAATCAAGTATCTCCCAGAGTCAGCAAAATTTAAACCCTGTTCCAAACTTGCAACTCTTCTCATCTCCACCATTGTTAGCATTTAACAACCACATCATCCAAAACAGTATTTGTCTGGTAAATAAAATTTCATCTATTCTGCCCTTAAATTCAGTTTCAGGGTATTCCCCCTACAATCACCTTATTTAAGCTGTTTCATGTAAAACACACAAACAGAGGTATCAACAGTATTAACCCTACTACAGAATACACCTGGTGAATAAATCATTATACATACTGAAAGCAAGTAATACCTTTAAGACTTAATTGTTTGCAGGTATTAGCTTACCTTATCTTGATTTACTAATGAATACACATAGAGGGGAAGAAAGAGCCTATTAAGTAGGTGGTCTGTCAGCACATCATTTAAAAATTCACAATTAATGATAAGGATATCATTAAGGTAATGTAAATGATCAAGATGTTCTGCTACGAGGTCACTCAGTTTGCCCCTATTTCTGTGCCTGAAAAAGAGAGCAGAAAGGCTCAGATATAAATCAATTGTCAAAGTCTTAAAAACTTAAGGAAAGAATTAATTGTGCATCCCTTCCACAGATCACCTTATGCAGATCGACTGCCTAAAGATGTTTTCAGTGAAGTCAACTAATGCAGCAAGCAAACAATATTCAGTCTTATCTGTGCTTTAGGATGGACATATCAAGTTTTTCCCCTAAGTTTCCAGAAGCAATGTTTTTACAGAACTTCACTGTCCACTGCCAGAGTCTTTTCACAAACCACCCATAAAAAAATGGGAAGATTTGTTTCCAAAAATAAAAGAAGAAATCTATGCTGTATTTAACATCTACCACTTTAAGAAAGCAAGAAACAGATGCCCATTCTAAGGTGGCAGTGGGAAGGCAAACCAAGAATAACCTGAATCAACAAAATATTTTTCTGTCATTGATAGTGGAAAATTACACAGGAATTTCAGGTCTGACAGTTCACATATTAAGTAAGTATTCACCTTTCCAGTTTAAATGTTTTTACTAGAATCTTTTCAGAAAGCTGTTCTGCTGAGATGATACACAGAAAAGGAACATTAAAAAGATGGAGTTAATAAAACTGAGAAGCACAAAATACCTTTTGTGTCTAAATTTAGCAGAATTAAAACAAAGATTAAGTAAAAGCATGTTGCCAACCACTAATTTACTTGCATGGGTATTAGCACAGAACTAACCACTTAATTCAAAGAATCACTAAAAATCTTTGCAAGAATGAAAACCTTGACCTGTCTACAGGGGAAGGTATTCAGAAACTAGCTGAACTAAACTACTACAGAAAACACAAGACAAAAATCAACATCTGGGAAAAGCATTTCCATTCAATGTCCAGCATTTGTAAAAACTTACTCTTCATCAGTCTGCACACAGTTATCCAGTTCTATCACGTGGCTTCCAATAAACCACACGAGGTTAGAGAAATAAGGGACAGCAGTTTTATCTCTAATGTAATGCAGCATAGGTTGGTTGTCCACTGAAGAGAAATTGTTAAAAAGAAAAATCAGTTGCCAATTGTTTTTATTAACTCTTAAGAAATAAACAAAGTATCTTCTGAATTTTGATAACATGCTGGCTTTTCATACAAGTATATACCTGACATGATCTTATGCATGAAATGGACATCTACAAAAGCGTCATATCAATTCTTAATTGGCTTGAATTAGCCTAATACCAATATATTTATATAGGTCTGAAGATAAACAAATCTAGTGGAATTCAGAAAGGTTTTCTTAGCACATTTTTTATTAAAAAGAAGAGAAAAAAGCGTAAAAATAAAGCAGTAATGCTGAAAGTCAAGCTAGTTAGACTTACATGACACTGCATTAAGGAACACAGGAATCATCAGTGAAGGAAGGGCAAAAGAAACAGACAACAGTTAACAGGATTAGGAACTGGGATAGTGACATCCTACAAAAGGGTTTAAAAAGCTAAAGCACAAAGCATCTAAACTAAAAGATAGAGGGTGGGTGTTAGATCAGAATACATGCAAATGGGTAGTCAGAAAATTATGAAACCTGAACATCTGAGACGTGTTTTTTCAACTCTAACCTTTAAATCACTACAACATCCAGTGAAAATTGGAGACAAGTACATTTTTTTACCATAACATTATTTACATAAATATGTAAGAACTAGGATATGAAGCCTGCACTTTGCTCTTTCGTGAGCTCATATTTGGATTTACAGCTCCTTGAAGTAGAAAACAAGTACCGAATACCCATTTCTCAACACACAAAAGAAAGACATTTTGTCCCCTGCAGTCAACACCATAAAGAGCCTATCTGCTATGCAGGCTATCCAGTTATTTGCAATGTCATTTTTTCATTATATTTGTCTGTGATAAAGACTGTCATCAAATCATTGTTTCTCTTAATTGATAGTAAGTTGTGTAAATTAAAAATGTAATTTAGTTTAGAATGGATTAAAGAATAAGAAGCCCTGCATGAACACATTCCATAATACATACTACCTTACAGCATGCTGATTTCAGAGGTAGAAGTTCTGAAAACACATCAATTTTTCTAGAGAGAGGACTGTGATATTTTTAGTGTATTACAGGTTTTAGAGACCCCAAGGAAAAAATCTAGGGGAAGTAACTTTTAGATGTGGTCTCGCCCAAACCTATTCTCAAAGTAGCATTAACTCCAAAATTCAACCAGGTTGCTAAGGGCCTTGTTGAGTTTTGAAGATCTCAAAGAAAACAGGATCCTCAGTTTCTCTGGAAAACCTGTTGCAGTGCTTAACTATTGGTTACTATTTGTTTTTTCTTTTTTTTCCCCCCTTACATCCTGTTGGAAAGTCTAGTACAGGAATTTGTGACTGCAACTTCCTGGCCTTCACTGGGCATCTCTAGGAATGGTCTAGCTCTTCTTTAGACTGGAGTGACTGCAGCACCAAAGAGCTCTACAAGCATATTTTAATGCACTTCAAATCTGAAAGGAAGTGATGTAGCCAGCAAGGTTACTGCTTCATACATTACAAGCTCAAGTTCATAAGTAAGAAATACTTTATATTCTTAAAGCACTTTGGTTTTGGGTGTTGTTGTGTTTGTTTTTAACTACAGTCACATTCTGATCTCTGTTGGAAGGGAAGCTAAAGTTTTTTGTGTATGCTTGATACTTTTTTGGGTTTTTTAGATCAGTTTCATCTGTGAGGAAACAATACCATTTACAAGTACATACTGTAGGTTCAGGGTTCTGTTTCATAAAAACCAAAAATGTGTATCTGAAGCATGTTAACATGCTAAGCTTTTCAATCCCATAAAACAGATAGAAAACCCTTACATGTAAATAACTGGAAATTAAACTACAATGAAACAAGCACTTTGTACACATGCCTTTTTAATATATAAAAAGCATACCTTTGTAGACATTTAAAGTTATCGTCCTCACAGCAATCCTAACCATGCTTTCTGGGTGGTTAAAAAATTTAATAGCTTCAGTGTACAAAGCGAAGTCGTTAGTGTGCTGTAACAAGAGGAACAAAAGTATTTATGAACTAAGTAAGAAATGTACAGCATATTTGTTGGGATTCTGTATGAAAAATGTTTTTCATGTGTAACTCTGATATTTTTACCTTCTACTTAAGTAATCAAAATGATTTTACAATGAACAATCAGCTGCATTTGTAGCTCTGCATTAAAATAAACCTCTAAGTGTCAAGAGCATTCCATGTTAACTCTCAGTGATTTAATGCCCTCTTCTGGCAAAAAGTGGAATGGAGTGAGGAAAAATCCATTTCAACTTTGGCCTTTGATTACTCAGTTTTTTTAGACTTGAACTAAGACTCTTAGAGCCAAGTGGTACAACAGAAAAGATCCTGTTTACAAAAGCACAAGAAAACAAGGCATAAACAAGCTGAATTCTCAAGGAAGCAGACAGAACTACTGAAACAGTCCAATATAACACTAAGTTCCAGATATTTGTTTTATTATACTTGTATGAGGACAAAGACCTTCTTTATCATGCTTCTGCAGAGATCCCCACAAATGAATTCTCAATCACTGATATTACTGTTATAAAAATAAATGCAGGATATGCCGAGACAAGAGACTAAATTATGTGCCAAAATGTGACTAAATGTGCCAAATTGCTATCAATTTCTAATTAAAGTCCTCTTTATCATTATACTGCAACTCTTTCTTCACTTACCTCATTATAAAAGAAATGTACAGTATGATTGTTGAGTTTCAGGGAAAGA